AGAAGCTCTATCCCCACAGCTGGTGGGTCCCACTCTTCTCTTGGGACCCTGCACTTGCTGGCATAGAAATGCCCCCTCGTGGGGGAGAAGGGAATTGACTCTTCTCCTACTCTGTACTTGGCCTCTCCACAGTTCCCAGGTCACAAACCCAGCCCTGGCTCCCTGAAAGAGAGGAAGGGACACACACACACACGCACGCACGCACGCACGCACACGCACACACACACACACACACACACCTTTCCTCAATAACCCAAGCATGATGCTGCTCATCCCCTCAGGAGGCCTCACTCTTCTCAGAAGCACAGAGGACAATCAGATGGGGCCAGCTTCCCCCTGCCTCTTATGTCACTGACAGTAGGTGACCAGTGTCCATGGAGGGCCATTACAGACTCCTACCAGTCTGGTCAACCGAGTGCCTGATGTTGACATATGGGGGTGTCGCTAACAAGCAGTGGCTCTTGTTTCTCATCTTACAGAAGTGACCACAACACCATGCAATGTGAACACTCAGTGCCCAGATGGGGGCTACTGCATGGAGTATGGAGGGAGCTACCTTTGTGTGTGTCACACAGACTACACCACCAACCACTGTGAGTGTGGCCTGCAGGAAAAGGCTGATGGGGGAAGGGGAAAGCGGGTATCTGGCCTGGGGCTGGCACTCTGTGAAGCGTGGCTGAGGGGAAGTGACTGTATGACCTGCAGCAGAGGGGGAGCTGGGAGCAGGGCAGTTGCTTCCCAGGTGTGCTCAGAAACAGGTACCTAACTGTGCTGCTCCAGCATGAGGAAAAGGATGGAGGAGCTGTGAGTGTGAGTGGAGTGAATGATACCAAAGAAAACAGATTTGCCTGGGGAACATGAGGACTGCTAGAGAACCAGCCTTCTTGGAGGACCTCTGGGGGGCTACAGACCCTCTGGGAGCTTAACTCGTCTGCCCTACTCCACTCTGGGGTCTGTGTTCCCAACACAACTGTGAGGATGACCCTTAGCCTCCACGCAGCCACCTTCACCCCTGTGGTGATGTGGTGGGCCACTGTCCTCAGCTCCAACCCAAAGAAGAGGAGCTATGGTACCCCAGGCTCCACAGGCACCCTCATCCCAACTCATTAGCTGTAGTGAAGGGGCCGGGGTCAGGTCTGCAGGTGCCCAGAAGCTCCCTGCGACATGTCTGGGGAGGCTGCAGGGTGACCCAGATGTGGACCAGCAATCCAGTGCTGCCATCCTGAGTGAGGTGAGCATAGCCTCCAGTGAGCCGAGCAGCTGCCTGGCCAGGCACAAGTGTGAAGGGGCTGGGCATTCCCATGACCAGGCCAGGAGCTGGTCAGAACCATTCCTGTACTCACTGGCCTTTGAGGACTCCTTAGTTTGCTATTTACCATTTTCCCTCTGCAACCCATGTGTGGTTTTGCAGCTGTACCATCCCCCTGCGACTCGGAGCCCTGCCTGAATGGGGGATCCTGTGAGGTCCATGATGACTCATACACCTGCGAGTGTCCCCGTGGGTTCCTGGGCCAGCACTGTGAGAAAGGTACTCCCCGGGCCAGGCACAAGGGGGGCAGTGGGAGGGTGTGTGGGGAGCTCTGAGCCCTCTGTTACTCTGGTGTCAGCAGACCCAGCCCTGTGGGACACAGCAGCAACTGGGGGGAAAGCAAATGGCTGCATTCAGCATCTGTGGTACCCTTCCTGCCAAGCCGGAGGAGGGTCTGCATTGGAGCGGAGAGAATCTGGGGCAGGAGACCAGCCCCATAAAGACAGTGGGGAGCTCTGGCAGCTGCCTGGAATCTACCATGTCACCACTGCTTCCACCAGCCTTCCCAGCAGTGAAACACCCCTCCTGGCCCTAGAGCCTTGTCCTTGGGGTGCATGGGGAACAGTAATGCTCATTTCTAGTGAGGGATTGGAATGGCACTACTGCCCTTCAGGAGGCAACTCTGGACCATCCAGTTCCCCACAGACAGAAGCAGGGACTTTGAAGATGGTTTGAGGATGTAGTGTCTCAGCAAGCCCTGACCTGCAGCCAGTGGCATGCAATGTTTGACTGGGGAGTGCAGTCATGCAGGGCTTCTAGGTGGCTTTTTGTAGCCAAGGAGTCTGCAAATTAACTGCCGGTCCTTGTCTCTTGGTCACTGGGGTTGTCCCCATGTTTCCAAGGACTACGTTCATGTTAATTCACAGCTATGGCAGACAGCCTGTGCCTTGCTGCTAGTTGCATTCAGAAGTAAGAACTGGGTCTCCTAATGCTGCCTGACTGCAGATTAACACAGCTACTTCCTTTCTCCTAATTCACAAGGACCGGTGATAGCCTTGCTTTCACAGGGTGCCTATGCATGGAAGTTGTTGCAGCTCCCTCTAGTGTAAAGTAGATGCTGTGCATCAGCAGACAGCAATACTGTCTGATAGCTGAGGCCAGAAAGGAACAAGCACCTTCAAACCAAGGGCCCAAAGTCCATCACTCAGCAGGCAGAAGAGGGCAAGCTGGGCTGTGAGTGAGGCAGTGCCCAGGTCAGCCTGTGAAAGGGCATGAATCCAATCCACCTCCATCACAACTGAGGCTGCATAACCCATGCACACACCCTCCTGCTCTGTGCTCTCTCCTCAGTCAGGCCCCGGCTCTGCAGCTCTGGGCCCTGCCGTAACGGGGGCACGTGCAAGGAGGCAGATGGAGAATACTACTGTGCCTGTCCCTACCGCTTCACAGGGAAGCACTGTGAGATAGGTACTGCACGGGCAGGGGGAGAGCAGGGAGGGCATTGGTATTGCTTGAGACCTAATGTGGACCTTATTGTGCCCACAGGCAAACCAGACCCCTGTGCCTCTGGCCCATGCCAGAGTGGGGGCACCTGCTTCCATTACATTGGCAAGTACAAGTGTGACTGCCCTCCAGGCTACACAGGACGACACTGTGAGATTGGTATGAGCACTGAGAGACTGGGTGGCAGGGGGTATCTTGGGCCCAGTCCAGCTTGGAGCTACAGGCCAGTAACCAAATGGCTGATGCCCAGCACTTGGCTGGTGGGTTAGTAATTGGAGAAGGGTCTCAGTTAATTCCTGTACTCCTGGCATAAATCCCAGGTGGCAAAGGCATAATTTAGATAGGTTGTAGCATTCAGTGGTAAATGGATCTACCAGGCACAATACACAGAGAACAGGGCTGTCTGCAGCAGCATCCAACAGGTTCAGTGACTGGCTGCTGCAGTCCCTGCCTAAATCAGCTGCTACATGTGCCCACCAGAGAGCTCTAGAGAATCATCCTATGGTGATTGATTCTAGGCTGGCCCTGGCATGGGTGAATGTGGCTAGACTGTCTCTAGGGTCTTTGAGCTTCTCTGGGTGCTGTTGTAGAGGTAGCGTAAAGTGGAAGAGCAGGGTGGCAATGTCTATCTGGGATGCTCTTTTCCAGCCCCTTCTCTGTGCTTCCTGAGCCCATGTGAGAATGGAGCCACCTGCAAGGACCTTGGCAACAACTACATCTGCACGTGCCCTTCTGGGTACATAGGGAAGCACTGCCAAACAGGTAATGGACTGAAAGGTCTGGCCTAGCCCCAGCCCTGAGTAGGACCAAGTTAGAGCACACCCCAAGCCTGGCCCAGCAGACTGTGTCCAGAACATCAGCCTTACCATGCTGGAACTGCCCAGCACCTCAGGCACATCCCAGCCTCCTGCCTGGATAGGGCTGCAGGGACGGATAAGGAGGGTATGTGGATTTGCTGAATGGAGATACAGAGTGTCTGCCAACAATTCTGTGCAGACTTCCCAAGCGACCTTGGGCAACTCCCTTAGTTGCTCCGTGTTGTTAGCCTGAGTTTATACAATTTGGCCTGAATTCATGCTGATACTGCCACCTGTTAAAGAAGGAGGCAAGTTCAGCAAGGGGTGGCAGGAGGTTGAAGATTACGAGAAGGCCAGAAGAGCCTGGGGCAGTCTCCCTTATTGTGCCTCATCTGCATTAATGCCCTAGGAAAGCTGTGGTACCTGATCCTGAGGTCTGGTTGACCTTGGTAGACAGGAGCACATGCCTCCCCAACCATTGATCACCTGGAGCATCAGCCTCACAGAGGCACAGTGTCCTCCCTACCTGTAATGTTTTTGCCTGTGTTGGAGATAGTGGGGCATCTCCCCCTCCATACACTTACCACCAGGTTGGCCAAGCTGGAGCACCAGCAGAGAAGCTGAGGTTCCTAGCACTGAAATTGGACTCTCCCAAGCCCAGCCTGCAGGCCTCAGTGCACTCTCCTGACACTGCAGCCATGCCAGAACATTGCAAGGGGATGCTGTAGAAAAGAGCTCAATTTCAGCCAGAAGCTCTTGAGCCTGCAGCTGCGTCTCAAAACTAATGAGGTTTTCTCAGCCCTCAGCCCCACTGAGGCAGATGGAAGGCCTCAGGCATGGCCAGGTCAGCTCCCCAAGCAGTCCCAGGTCCAGTGGGCACATGTCTGGAAGATGGGAGGGCTGTTGTTCCTGGGGCCCATCCTGGGGAGGTAAATAGAAGGATCTCCCTGATGTGCTTTGGTTCCCTGCCCTGCTGCTTTGATGACTCCTATTCTTGAACCTCCTAACTCTTCTGGCCCTCATTTCTCTCTCTAGAGGTGGACTGTGGGGTCCCCAGTGAGGTGAAGCATGCCCAGGCAATGTTCAATTCCACCAGGGTGGGCTCATTGGCTGAATACCACTGTGATCTGGGCTATGTCCTGAGCCCTCACCATGCCCCCCGTGTGTGCAGTCCCCAGGGCATCTGGAGCGATCCCCCGGAGTGTGACGGTAAGCTGCTTTGCAGGGAGCTGTACAGTGCGCTGTCCCTGGCAGGCTGAGCAGAACAGGGATCAGCGACACAGGCACAAGGGGCAGAAGGAATGTCTCAAGCACCACATAGTGGCAAAGGGAGTGCATTGCACACCACAGGGGAAGCTCTGTGTGCCACCCTTGAACTATTCTCCTCATAGCTATCTCTGCCAGACTGCAGCAGATCTGGAGCCAGCACCAGGTAGAGAGGACACTGGGCTACTGAGGAAGGATGTCTGGAAGAGGGAGGGGAGCATTGGATAAAGCCACCTTGGAGCATCTTGGGACTGGCAGAGAGTTGTGCTGGGATGAGGCACTCAGGACAGTGGCTCAGAGGTTGCCTGCCATGGCCAGCCGGGGTCCCCAGTACCCCCAATACCCTTCGCCCCACTGACCCATCCCCTGAGTTCTGTCCTCTGGCAGCTGACTGGGGTCTCTGTGTGCCTGGTCAGTACTGCTCTGTGTGCCAGGGAGCTGGGGCTGTGAATTAGTGTGCGTCTGTGCCCCCCCCCCACCAGGGAGCTGGGGCTGTGAATTAGTGTGTGTCTGTGCCCCCCACTCTCCCCCCAATGCACACTCTGGGCTGGCTGCCATGGGATTCCCTGGTTACAGTTACTATGTTTGTTCACCCTGGTGAGTTACTGCCCCGGCCACATTTCCTGTTTCTCTAGTCACCTTCCTCGTTTCTGTACCTGGGCCTGGCACTCACCTGCGCAATCTCTCCTACACTACGAGCTGGGGATGCTCATGTGCAGGCACTTGGAGGCACAGTTCAGTATGGCCTGGACTTTTTGCTTCCAGTAAGCCTCTCTTTTTTTTTTCTTTTTTTTTTTTCCTTCAACCCTACTGCCCTGGCCCCACAGAGATTGATGAGTGCAGGTCTCAGCCCTGTCTGAATGGGGGCTCATGCAAGGACCGTATTGCTGAGTTTCTGTGCATGTGTGAAGCAGGATACACAGGCCTCCACTGTGAGTTGGGTAAGAGAATGTGAGAATGTGCTTTGAGGGGGGCTGCACCCATGATTGGGCATGATAGGAAGAGTCCCCAGGCATTCTTCATGCTGTCCAGACACTCTCCAAACACTGCCCACACTCCTCAGACACTCTTCACACTGCCTAGCCTGGCCAAACACAGATGCAGAAATTTCCCAGGAGGATCATTCTGTGATTGGGTTTACCCAGGCCTTAGAGTGTGCTTCTACATGAAAATTATTTCCAGTTAAGCTGGGGTGTGGAGTTAGAGTGAAACAGCTCTTCCTGACGGACTGTTCCTGATTAGCTCCCTGTTTAGAGGTTTGCATTCTGGAATAAGCATGCCTTGGGCCCACTTAACTTAATTTACTTAAGCCATTTTGGAATGAAGCACTCTTATTCCATAGTAGAAATGCTTCTGGAAGGGATGGTATAGTAGGCAGGGAGGTCTTGGTCCAGCAATCCATATGTTGTGGATGTGGAATTGTGTATAGGCATTCCCCATCTTTGGGTCCAGGATTGTGCGTGACAGGCAGTCCCATTGCTTTAGGGCTTATGCTCGTTCTTAGCTTGAACACCAGGAAGGAATATATTTTTCTCCCTCGTTAAAGCCACTGACGTCATGCTATTGGGAGAGTGCATCTTCCTCTGCAGCACTGGGACATGGGCCATAGCTAAGGCTGGGTTGTGCTGATGCTCCTGTAAGTACTAAGAGAGCTTGGAGGGTCCAAGCTACTCTCCCAAATTCAGGCTCAGAAAAAAGTCTTTTCCCTATGTCACATTGGTAAGGCTTGCGGGGTGGAGGGGAGGGGAGTTCCTTCCTCAGGAATGTGAGCCATAATCCTTTCCCCTAGGATCTGAGCATATCTTAATGCATGATGTCTCTTGTCACTGCAGTGGCAGGGCATTGGCAGAGCCCTCATCTCCTCTGCTCTTACTTGTGGCACACTGTAGGATGTTTAGGTGTTCTCTGCTTCATGTCTTGTAATTCTGAAGGCTTGAAGAGTTTGTGTGCATGTTTTTAAGCGGCAATTTTGGGGACTCCTTGTGTAAATGTGGCCTGCAAACACAGGGGCCTGGACTCAATGGCCTAGGAGGCTCCAAGAGTGAAAGATTTGTGATTAACCCCCTCCCCCACCAATTTTTTTTCCCAGGTGGTCAATGGTTTTCTCCTCTGCCTTAATGAAAACCTGAAATGTGTGGTTGAAATGGGACATTTTCCCATGGAGGGCAAACAAAATTCTCCCACAGCTCTGCTCCTAGTCCCTGGTGGGTGCAGCTCTGTTTTGTGCATTAGCAAGGAGCATCGCACATCTCTCATTGAACACCTCCCCAGTGGGAAATCTAGAACCTGACTTGCTGGGAGCGTTGAGCAATGTCATGTGAACAGGGTTCTCACTGCCACACGTTCCATCCATGAGTGGCAGAAGCACTGACTTGTGTAGGAAAAGGAGGCTGTGTGTTTAACTGGTGTGAGTGACATTGCATTGACTTCTGTATCCTCCTACTGCAGAGAGGGAGTGGAGCCAATTAAAAGGAAAAAGCAGGAGCTTGTAATCACAGCACAGGTCGGCATACTGTGTTTTCCAAAGACAGTGCCCAGACATTCAGTGTTCTTCCTCAGCAGCAGTGAAACTGGGTTGTTTGGCATCTGCTCCTACCCTGTTTCCCTCTTGCTGTGGTTTGGTACCATCAGAGCAGCAGCATCAATCTGGAACAGTACCCAAATGAATGGCCCTGCCAATGGAGGCTGTTGCCCAGCAAACCAGGCCTCTCTATGTATATATCCCAACCAGGCACTAAGCCTGTGGGCTCCTAGGCATCAGGCCACCTATGTGAACAAGGCCTGGGAAGATCATGCCATGCTACCATTAAGCACTAGGCTGTTTTTTCATCACATACAGAATTGTAGGGTTGGGAGGGATCTAGTGGGTTATCCTGTCCAACCCCTGCAGGAAACAGAATGTGCTGTTCCTAAACCATCCCAAGCTAATGTTTGCATGTGTGTGTATTATCCTTTGGCTGCTGAACAGAGATCGACGAGTGTCAATCCGACCCTTGTAAGAATGGAGGAACCTGCAGAGATCTCCCAGGATCTTTTGCTTGTCTTTGTCCTGATGGTTTCATGGGAATCCACTGTGAGACAGGTAGGCATTTCATTTCTTTTTTTTTTTAATTAAAAAATTTCAAATTGTGGCAAAAAAGGTGGGGAAGTTTTGTGAGGTGCTCACTTCAGTACTTTGTACCTTGAGGGTTTTCTCTTTGCTCCTAGCTCTGGTCATAATGGTCCCTTAATGCCAATGACTCTTCACAGGCAGCTGCTGTGCTGTAACATGGTCCAGCCATGCATTATTACTTGGTTACAAACCAGCCCTATTGCCTTGTCTCTTTACTGGACGGGGCTTACAATAAACTGAAACACTGCTCCTACCTTGGTGCAGGGATCTGAGGCCTCTCCAAGAACCTCATTCATGGCAGCTGGCACCTTGCCTTGTCCCTTCAGCCCAGCACCAGCCTTCCAGCTCTGGTAGGAGAACTGGGTAGGCATCGTACCTAATGATACCCCTGCTTAGCCCAGGCTCAGGCTGTCCCTTTGAGGCACCAGTCAGCAATTAAAAACCCCAACAAAGTAACCTCAGTGCCTGGAAATGATGCCCTTCTCTCATGAAAACCTTTCCAGCATACAGTTGGTTTGCTGTGCTGAGTCAGGAGCTGGAGGGGCCAGACCCATTTCAGAGCTCAGTGTCATGAAAGCCTTGCTGCTGCTGACCTGCAAAAAGACTGAGGGACTGGAGCCAAAGCCTACTGAGGTCAATGGAAAAGCTGTTGCTGAGTTCACTGGACTCTGGATCCTGCCCTGATATAAGAGGGGGGGAGGGTAGGTGGAGGATCTGACCCTTAGGTTGCAAACAGTAGTATTTGCAATTCAGCAGTGCCCAGTTATAACTAGTGACCTGCAAACAGGGGGAGAAGGGATAGGCAGGTACCCCTAGTCACCAGCTGGATAATGGAGCTTAATTTTCACAGGCCCGCAAAGAGAGCCGGCAGCGGTAGAAGGATCAGTACTCTCAAGAGGAGTTCAGTGACAATGCTTTGGCCTTTACCTACCAGCACAGTGTAACCTCTGCATTGAGATCATGGATGCCTATAGACAGCGAGGTTCCTGGGCTTTGGGCAAGGGATGTCAGGACCTGCGATCCAGTACCTTGGGACATGGCTTTACATCCTGGAGGCAGGGAATGTAAGGAGCCTTCAGAATGAGCCTATGACCTGCAGTTAGCTCCCCAGGCTGTGCACTGTCTGCTCTAGGGCTTCCTTAAATGGCTGTCCATCTTTGTGCTGCTGGACATAATACATGCTGCTCTCACAGCCCCTCTTCACATGCGTGCTTCATCCATCATGTGTCCAGCTGTGGTTTCTGTGAGGCATGCAGGGTTGTCCTGTGCTATCTTCTGCAGGTATGTGAACCAATGTGTTTGTGCTCTCTCTAGAGGTAGATGCCTGTGAATCGAGTCCTTGCCAAAACGGAGGGGACTGTGAAAACTACAGTGGTTCCTACCTGTGCATGTGCCCAGAGGGTTTCTTTGGCTACCACTGTGAGACAGGTATGTAATTTGCCCACATCTGACAACATAGCTAGCAACTGCCGAGGAAGGTCTTCCAGCTAGTGTCATCGTGGCTGAATGCACGGAGCTTGGTAATCCACAGGCCGCAGCATGAGGGCGTGGGCATATGCATGTCTAACACAGCACTGGGCCATGACCCTGTTGTCTTTGCTCCTCTCCTCTAGCCAGCGATCCCTGCTTTTCCAGCCCATGTGGCAGCAGAGGCTACTGCCTGCCTTATAATGGATCCCACAGCTGTACCTGCAAAGTGGGCTACACAGGCAAGAACTGCGAGAAAGGTAATGGTGCTGAACGGCTGCGCCAGACAGGAGACACCAACACGTGCACATGCAGGGAGCCAGGATGCAGCAGCGTCTGCCCAGTGTGCAGGGCTCTGTTCTGCACGAGCAACATCAGCTGGCACTGGCCTGTGGCTGAATGTGCCTGCGGAGCTGCTAGAACAGCCAGCACAGGAGCTGGGCTTTGCTCACCTGGGAGAGCTGATTGCAAATGTGACTGCTGCTGATGGAAGGTGCCAACTAGGGTCCCTTTGTGCTAGGAGCTGAGCACCTCCTGGAAGGGCTGAACCCAGTCCAAGCATGTCCATGCAAGGATGCTTGACATTCACCCCTGTTAGCTGATGCATGAACTGGAAGTCTGTTAATGAAGCCACAGCTGTTCCCTGTGTAAACATGCCAATTCAGAATTACTATGGCCTCAGCTCAGTTGAGCTGATTTTACCTCCTGGAATGCCAGTAAGGTAAAGCAAAATAACCCACCTTTAATCCCAAATACAAGCATCCTTATGGGGCTCTAGTCCAGTTTAATTTGGTCACTTTGAAAATTGATTCTGATGAACTTTCCTAAGTGCTCCCATGTGGCAAAGCCCTAATGAGGGCAGGATAGCCTGGTGGTTGAGACATTGACCTGGGGCTTGAGAGACATGAGTTAAATGCCCAGCTCTATGCCACAGCCTTTGTGTGATGTTGGCCAAGTCTCTTTATGCCTCAGTTTTCCCCTCTAAAACAGAGATGCTAACACCCCATGTGTCTGTCTCATCACTTTTGATTGTAGGCTCTCCAGGATGGAGCCCATCACTCTTCCCATGTGTGTGCAGCTCCTAGCACAATAGGGCCTTGATCTTGGCTGATCCCTCTAGCGACTGCTGTAATGCACAGAGAGGGCAATCACAGGAGTTAGTCACTGCCCCTTGTGTCTGCAAGACTTGCCCTACAGCGATTAACAGTGACAGTTGAGGGTGCCCAGCTCCGGGCTGGCTCAGGCCCAGGTCTCCATTACCTCTGCGCTGCGGTTCACCATGGGAGTCTGTTCTCTAAAGATTTACGGTGTTGCTCTCCCCTTTGCTTTTACCGATACCCCGAAGAATTGTTGCCACCAACCTCATTAAAGGTGGAAGGGGTGGAGGACACTGGTGTGTTGATTTCTTGGCACCCACCTGAGGACCCAATCGCCAAGCAGCTGACTGACGGCTACGCCGTGACGTACGTATCCTTGGACGGCTCTTACCGCAGGACAGATTTTGTGGACCGAAGTCGTTCTGCCCACCAATTGCGGGCACTGGCCTCCGGCAGAGCCTACAATATTTCTGTCTTTTCAGTCAAACGCAACGTGAACAACAAGAATGATATCAGCAGACCCATCACGCTGATCACACGCACTAGTGAGTAGTGTCTGCTGGGGGATACAGTTGTGAGTATGCTCACCCCAGTCTGGCACCTAAGCTAATGCTGGGCATGTGCCACCATGCCAGAAGATGACACCAGGTTGTTTAGGTCAGTCAGGACCAGAGGACTGTGATGAGCTGCAGAGGACCGACAGCAGCTAGGAGAACAGGAGGCATCACAGCAGGCAAAGCTTATTGCTGAACACAAAGTTGTGCACAGTAGAAGGAACCACTTGCATTATTCCTGCACCTGGCAGGACTCCCAGTTCATTGCTGGGCTCTGGAAAGGGACCTGCTGGCAGGTTGACAGAGGCCCCTGCTGCTTACAGGGCTGCAGTCAAAATTGCAGACATGGCATTGGGAGGAATAGGGAAAGGGATGGTGACTAAAATGCTGTAGCAGGTTATCAGGTATGGCTGGGGTCCCATACCTAGGAAAGAGATGGCAGAAACAGAAAGTCTCAAGGTGGGAGACCTGAAGAAGATTCCATCTAAAGTGTGGGCAACATCTTGGGGGCCTGAGGGGCCATACTGTCTCCAGAGCAGTAGGGTAGGCACTCCTGTCTATTCTGCCTCCCAGAGCTAGAAGGCAGCAAACGTAAAGCCAGCTAGAGGCAATACTGTATCCCCCTACTTGAAAGTAAGCCATTAGGTCACCACACAACTTCACTGAGCCCTCAACTTCAGTAGGTTTCCAAATGGGCAATAAGACTAGAGTCAGGCTGCAGATGAGGGAGGAGCAATGCGGCAGTGAGATAAATCCTGCTTCCGGGCATGCAACAGCCACTGACCATTAGGGTCAGTAGGAGGCTGGGTCGATGAGTGTCCATCACAGGGTTGCTGCCTGCTCTCAGTGATCAGTGCAGGGGTGAATGGATCTGCTCTGGCAATTCCTGTGTTTGATTGATAGTCCAGTGCTCTGTGTGGAGGGCATGAAGAATGGAGCCCACAGGAGCTCATACTCCCAGCTGTGGTGCTTGGGGCAGGGATGGGGGAGCAGCAGAGCTGCCTCTGTACAGGCTCCCTGTTCCACAGGCTTTAGTAAGAGCATGGTCTTGGTGAGGATGTCAGGAGACAGAGGGGGCCCAGAAGGTGGGTTTGAGTGACTTCCAGAGCACCCAACAAGCAGGCTGTGTCCCCAGTCAGGTGAGAGCCCCTCACTACACATTCGCTGGGGTCAGCTAGGCCCAGGCCTCTGCTGTCTGAGGTCCTTCCAGCAGTCTATCAAAATCAGTGAGCTTGGCAGCAGGCCAGGGCTGTCTGGGAAGGTTCCCCTTTGGTCTGGTCCCCTCAGAAATGACCAGTTTCCTTCCAGCTGTCAGGCCATGCTGTGCTGCTCCTTAGCAGGCCAGAGCCTCAGCAGGGTTAGAGAGCCCCATAGCCCCATCAGGAGACAGCAAGGCCATGGCTGGGCACAGCAGGCTGAATGCTGTGTTCTCCCCCCATCTGGCTCAGTTCTGAAAGCCCATTCCCTCTCTGTGTGTCTCACAAATGCCATCTCTCCCTGAACTGAGCCTGCATCCACTTGGAGGATGAGTGTGGGGCACAGTAACACCAGGGGCCCTAACAGCAGTCAGGACCCTCATGTATGAGAGCATAAAGAAGCTCAGGGAGCTTCACCCATCAAGCCAGTGGCAGAGCTGACCCTGCCCACTGTCCCCCATCATCTCCCTTGGTCTCTTCCATAGGAACATAAGCAGTGCCATGCTGGCTCAGACCAGTCATCCATCCAGCCCTGTATCTCCTCTCTGACAGTGGCAAGTAGTAGGTGCTTTCAAGGGAAAGCATATGTGCAGGACATATCTAGTGTCATCCATCCCATTGTAGCCAGTCCAGCATCCACCATTGGTGTAGGGGAGTCAGAGGACACATCCCTGAATGCTTTGTTGAATAGCTGTCAGTGGGTCTGTCCTCCATGAACAGGTCTAATCCCTTTTTGGACCCAGTTAGACTGTCAGCCTCTGCACCCTCCCATGACAACAAGCGCTATGCATTAACTACATGTTGTGCCAGGGGATTCCTGCCCTACTGCAAAGCAAGTGTCCCTCTAAATGGGATTTGCTGTTTGCCTCCCTACTCACAGCCTCTACACAGGGCTGCACAGGCTATTCATGCCTGACTAGGGTGCCTATGCATCTCCCCTCATACTCCCATACTGGGTCATTGTGAAGATTCCTGCAGGGGCATGAGGCCTAGTACCCAGGAATAACAAGAGATGCTGCCTGTTTAGGGGCTTGTTCTCCTGCCAGTCTGAATATCTTCTGCACGGCCCTCCTGTGGTAGCAGTTTTGGAGCTGCTGGTCTGGATTATTCGGTTCACCCCCAAGCAGTTCCATGCCATTCCCCCTACCCTCCCCCAGCTTCCTTGGGTGAAGGCAAAGCAGCAGGGGCAGGCACCAGGCCATCTGCCTGGTGGTATGGCTGTGGGCTGTTCCAGGTAGCCCTTGCCACAGGACTGCTTCCCTGAACTGCCCAGGAGGTGGAAGTCTGCCTGTCCCTTCTGCAGGGTGTGCTGATGGCCCAAACAACAACTCAGAGGCTATATTGTAGGCAGCCAGGAAGGGGCATGTCATGATCTCAGGGATGTGCTCCAGAGACCATAGACTCCCCCAGGGAACAGGAGTCAAGGGTGTTGGGTTGGGCCTGGCTTTTGAGGGGGGACTTGCAGCTTTGCTTGGCATCTACTCACCATGCCTCTGCCTGTACTCTCTGTAATCCACCAGGACCACACCCCGTGGAGGGGTTTGAGATCACCAACGTGACGGCCAGTGCCATCACAGTGCAGTGGGCTCTCCACCGCCTCAAGCACTCCACTGTCAGCAGGGTGCGCGTCTCCATCCGCCAGCCTGGCGACATGGAGCACCGCACTGTGGAGCTGAACAGCAGCGTGGCCAAGTACACATTCTGGTGAGCGCAGGGTGGGATGTGGCTGGGCAAGGGGACAATGAAGGATGGCGTGAGAAAACCCACCTGCCATGATCACCCATGAGCTTCTGTCTCCTTGCCCTCCCACAGGGTCCTGCAGGAACAGAGCTGTGGATGGGATGTTGGCTGAAGCCCAGCAGTGCCTACACACAAGCCATGGGGTCTAGGCCAAGGGTCACACTGACAGCAAGGGGGTTGGCTGGACTGGCCCTGGCAGGTCTCTCTAGCTCACACCCAGGGTCCCCTGCCTCATGGCACCGACACTAATTGACCTTAGTGTCACTGAAGCCAGGTCTGCAGTGCATGCTTTCACTAGTGTTGCCAGCCTAGTGAGGAGTGTTGCCACCAGGCCCCCTCATGCAGCAGTAGCTTGTGGTGGCAGAAGTGCTCTTCAGCATCTCTGGTGGTTCAGGGTTTACTCAGTGGTTTGATTGCACCAATAAAGGACCTCTCCTTGGTGACTCCTTGGTGACAGGAGCTGTGTTCCTGGTCTAGTTGTACCAATCATAGTGGTGCCAGCAAGACTCTGTAGTGCAGACCAGCCTAGGATGCCTTGAAGACCTTGGGGAATAAATAGTCTGTCATGTTCCACAGGAGGCTCCCAGGCTTGCCCAGCCTTGCTGGACTGGCTTCCACTCCAGAAGAAGAGTCTGGTGCCCCAGAGTGGGGGTGGGGAGGGTGCACGGTTTAGCATCTGCTCCAGTAGCACCCTATGGCTTTAGTCACTGTGCTGGAAAGTGCAAGCAGAAAAGGACACAGGCCCAGTGCAGTGTTACCAGCACAGTATACACCAGGTAGAGAGAGTCTGTGCAGAGAGGAGTTAAAGTGGATGGCAGGGACCCACATGACTTAATTAATTAGTGCCCTTCCCTCCTGCCTCATCCCCAGGGACCTCCAGCCAGGAGAGAGGTACATTATCGATGTGACCACCCTGAGTGGGATGGGGACGGAAGACCATCCTTCTGAGAGCCTGGCCACGGCTCCCTTCCATGTGTGGACGCGTGAGTGTGACCAAATATCCCTGTCCCTTCCTCAGTGTTGCAGTGCACAGCTGTGCCCCTGAAAAAGACTGCGGCATCCCAGAGAGATTCCATCCAGTGCCCGGGTACTTCAAGGTCTCTGACTGCTTGTGTCTATGAGTCAGCCTTGGGCCTGAGTCAACCTGTTTAGGACTTGTCCATAAGTGTGTGGCTAAAGGGATGAGAACAGAGACCTTTGAGGCAGCAACCACACAGAGGGCAACTTGGAAGCTTTTTCTTCCAGCTGAGGGGTGAGCCTGGCTCCAAAGTCAGTGACCTTCCCAGAAGGGGGAAACTGAGCAACCTGCCAACACGTCCAGCCTGACATGCAATCCCAGCCAACACTAGCACACAGCAGCAGCCGCTGTCATGGTCTCTGCACATCAGGCTGGTGTCACTGTGTGCTGGGAAGTGTCCTGAAAATGCCAGCCGCACTGGGAGGAGGGCATTGCACCCAGGCCAGGGCTGTGCACTGTTGGTCAGGGCACCAGAGGGCATCAGGAGCTGTTGCTGTATGTTGCCCAGGAAGGGGCACTGTCCCACTGGAGTGTCCTCGGGCCCCAACCAACAGCAGAGCAGTTCCACAGTCCCATTCTCCTGCTTCTGTCAAGCAGCCTGCAAGAGAGCAAGAGGACACTGACTCTGCTGTTGGCAGAGGGGCCCTTGGGGTCCCCAGAGCATAGCAAATACAAAGACAGCCCATGCAGGACACCCTGCTTTGGAGAACCAGCCCTCCAATCACTCCAGCCCTGCCATCCTAGGGCCCAGGTCACCCTTCGCAATTGCAGGCCTCACCCTGGCCAGCTCTGAGGCTGGCAGAAGGGCAATGCAGGTAGGGTGGAGATGGCCTTGTGCCAGGGATAGGTGGAGATGCATGTGTGCGGTCAGCCTCTGCAGATGTTGTTTACTGTCCAAGCAAAGACATCTTGAGTTCAGTGATCGCTGAGTGCAGCTGAGGGGAAGCCATGAAGCATCTTCCTGGAGCTGATTTGTCACCTAACTTGTAGTAGCCCAAGTAACGGGTGGCCAGTGTGCAGCTGGACACCAGCCACATCCTGGCCCAAGGGCCCCTGGGGCGGGCAGAGGAGCCAAGCACATGGGAGCTCTGCTCTCCAACTTGTGTGCTGTGCTACATCCCAGCCCCCCTGTGACACTGGCACAAGCGGAGGTTCCAGCCCCACGCTTCCAGCTGTAGGTTAGACTTGCCCTGCTGCAGAAGAGGTGAGGGCCTGGAGCAGAACCCTGCACGAGCAGAGGATTCTGTAGATCCACAGCCACGGGCCCTGTGCAGGAAGGAGCTCTGCACCTCCTGTAGCCACACAGGTGCTGTCTGAATGGCCCAGGCCCCTTCCGAGCCTGGCTGTGGTGGGGCAGGTAGGGGTTCACGGACCTATAACTCCCTTTACTGTGTTACTGGATTAGGCTGCAGGCTTCTGCACCTGAGAGCCCCATCTGGTGTGCACTGGCCTTAAATGCAAGCAGAGCCCTGGGGGGTGGGTCTTTACTCCAGGGTTCCTGCAGGGGAAAGGCACCTGACTCTGCCCCCATTATAGCCCAACCCAGCCTTGCGCAGCCATATTGCAAAGGCAAACCTGAGCTGCCAAGTCCTGTACAAATAGGTCTGGGAAAGCTGGGGACATATTGCAGAGCTCTTGGATTACAGGAGGCTGAGCTGCTCCAGTGAATTGTGGGTGAACTTGTCCATCATTCTGGGCTGGTGACTGATGAGGATTGCGAGATGGCATGGGAGGGTTAGCAGCACTTGGCTAGAGTGCCTTAGCCGGAGTCTGCAGGCAAAGGGGCAGGGTTACTAGCCAGAGGGAAGAGGAAACTGAGCTTCAGCCTTTTACCTAGGAGAGGCTGACAAACCTGGGCTAAAAGGGTATGATCAAACTAGGGATTCACTTTGAAATGCATCTGAATAACAACTCCCCTCTCCCCTCCTTCCCGCATCTGGAACAGGGCCCCTCCCTCCTAGGAACCTCACTGCTTCCAGGGTTGGTGCCACCACAGTTTACATGACATGGGAACAGCCACCAGCAAGTTCAAGCTCAGTGGAGGGCTACATCATCAACGTCACCACCAGCCAGAGCGTGAAGAGCCGCTATGTGCCCAACGGGAAGCTGTCTTCTTACACAGTGCGTGACCTGCTGCCAGGGCAGAGGTACCGTTTGTCCGTGACAGCCGTCCAGAACACAGAGCAAGGCCAAGTGCACAGTGACCCAGCTCACCTGTATGTCGTGACCTGTAAGTGCACCCTCATTGCTCCCCTGGCTTCTCAAACTACTGTAGGGGAGGAACTGAGCACATACGGGAAATTAATGGTGACAGAGAACATCTGGGCAGGTAGAGGTGTCTGCAAGGGGTGCTACATGATGAGAAATCCCATCCGCTCCCAGCTGTGACACACGGGGGATGGGAATGCATGTGATGACTGTCACCCCAGGACATGCATACCCTGAAAGCAGAGAATTGCCACTCCCTGCAGGCACTCCACCATGGTGAAGGAATGCTGGTTGTGTATAGCAGTCTCCATCTAGCAGCCAGCATGTATGGCTGTCCCTGTTCTACACAGTGGCCTCACAGCCTAGTTGTGGGGGGGATGAAGGCAGCCAGGTATGTATCCAGGTGCGTGTTGACATGGGTGCAGTTTGTCACCAACGGAAGAGGCCTGGTACAGGGAAGCAATACACAGAGTGGCAGCATGAGGTCATGGGACTATGTTGGGCACGCACTCAGCCAATGCTGTGGCTGAGCCTGCAAGTCTGCAGACAGCGTGGGATGGGCCCTGAGGAATGCTGTAGCTCACTGGAAGAACGATGCTCCGGTTAATCAGCTGCCTCACTGCCTTGGCTGCAGCTAAGCCTAACCCCTTCTGACCCCCAGTGCAGAGGGATGGGACACCAGAGCGGCGATGGAGCCAGGGTGGACATCCCCGCGTCCTCCGGAACAGGCTGCCCCCGGCCTTTCTGCCTGAGCTACGCCTGCTCGCAGACCATGACATCTCGGAGGAGCCCTCACAGGCCCCCAGGTAACAGCCGTAGCTGCCAGCACCCCAGCTCAGCACAGATGTAATACATGGCACTTGTTTAGCCACAGCAGCAAAAAACTACTGCAGTCAAGCACAGAACAGGTTATGTCTGAACCATGTATCTTGGTCCCTCTCATCCAAAGTGTGTACTTGTTCATCTCCCAGATGTGCTATCATTCAGCGTGGGTAGCAGCTGGTAGCACCAGCACAGCCAGGTGAGTGCAGAACAGCTCCAAGCAGCTCCCCAATGCTCTGGTTTCTCTGTGCCTTGGAAACAGCAAAGGGGGGCATTTTCAGAGGTGCATGAGGAGTCAGGTGGTCTGATTTCCATGATGATTTGAAAGGAGCTGGAGGTTCAGAGCTGCACTTTCCACAGGGACTTAGAAAACCCCACCCCAGATATCTTCCAGTGAAATCTCTCCACAAGGCGGCTGTCTGTGTCTATGGTGACTGGCCCCATATACTGCAAGGAGCAGGAAGCCCTTGCTGGTGCTGTGCTGTCACTGTGGCGTCTCGGTCCCTGCCTGCTGCGGGGGTCAGTAGTGCCCTGGAGGGGTTCTGCAAGCTTTGATGGTGCTAGCTTTTGCATTAGATCCATTCTGTAGCACAGAAGTAGTAGCACCAGGCTTTGCTCTCCAGTGGGATGAGAAGGAACTATCTGAAATGTGATGTAAAAATCTATCTGCATCCAGTGCTGATTCCAGTCTCTTACAGCCCCATGCATTTGCCCCTGGGTCAGGCCATAATCTGAATGGCCTGGGGCCATGCACATTCCTTTCCTTCTTCAGGTAGGATGCTGCCCCTAGTGGTTGCCAGGCAAGTAGCGGAGTTGTCTGCTGGGTGTGTGACCAAGTGTTCCTTAGTGTGAACCCATGGGGGAGCACCTGGGGGGCAGCTGTGCTAATTATATGACTAACGTGTTCCTCCTCCAGGTACACGGAACTGGTGGACGGCAGAGGAAGGATCAGTGCCAAATTCAGCAGCTCGCCAAGCAAAGCCATTACCATGAAAACACGTAGGTATCCTCCAGCCCTGCATATCAGCATATCACCTGAGGCCCTTGTCCACAAAGGCTAAGAGGGACCACCCACCCTATTCCCAGCTAGTGCACTGGGGAAGAGGGGGTTGCACCCAGTTTAGAAAGGATGACAGGGTGTGAGGGTGTGTGTATGTAAGAGCCATCTCTCCAGTCAGCATGAAGTCTCTCATGCACACAGTTCTGTCTCCTGGCTACCTTAGAGGTGACGATCGCACATCATGGTGCATTCTGAGTGGTGCTGGCCCTAGTCAGGTAAGGGAGTAGGCTTACTAACCCAGTCATATGTTATAGGAAGGGGAGGAGCAGAGATGGGGCAGCTCAGGCTACCCGTAAGAGCCACACAGTGGCAAGCAGCAAGTGGGACTTCCAGTATCAGGTTGTCCCCTGCCTGCTGGGGCAGGGTCAACTTGTGAGCTGATGTGATGGAAGCATGATTTGTCCTGCTCCCCCCCCACTACTGCCTACAGCATTGTGGCACCTACTGACTATGGCACTGTCAGGTTTCCCTGAAGTTAGAGGCAGTCTGGTGGCGGGGCAGAGCCCCCTGGGTTTTGTTCCTAGCCACTGACTGCCTTTGCATTAGTGAGCAAGTCTTTTTGCTGCCCCTGCAGGGGGTCAGCAGCACTCTCCTTTCCTGGAGAGGTGTTTTGAGGGCTGTGGGGTAGATAGGGCCTAGAGAGAAGATGGACACCAGGGGGTGCTCTAGACCAGTGGCACCCAATCTTCTGGCCTCACAGGCGAGATGCAAGGTGCAAGGCTTGTCCATGGGCTGCATCCCATATGGAGTTGGTCCATGGAAGTGATCCAGCACAGCAGCTTGAGCCTCTGTGCCTGGATCCAGCTGCCCACTAGCCCAATCTAACATGTAGCAACATTATCCAGCCTGCAGGACTTTACCCCCCACCCTGGTCTGGAAATTTGGCAGCAAAGGAGCAGCAATTAATGCAGCCACCACTCCCTCACCACCATATTTCTGGACTGATTAGGAGCCCCCAGGGGCCAGGTGACATAGCTCCATGGACCAGATCTGGCCACAAGCCAAAGGTTGAGCAGCCTTGTGTTAGGCACACACCAACAAACACCCAGTTCTGAGAAGGTAGCTTGGGCACCTCCACTCACCCTACTCCTAATCCAAGAACAAGAATTGGAGTAATGAAAGCTGGATGTCAGGGTGAGCAGCAGAACTCCTTGCCGCAAGAGATTCTTACATCTCAGATATCCGCAAGGTTATGTAGTGGACTGGCTGTGGGTCTGGACAAGAGTCTTCAGAGCTCCAAGTGTTGGTGTTCAAGAGGGATGGTCCTTCACAGGCAAGCTATCCCATTATTGGATCCTGCAGGTTCTCCCTCTGCCTATGGAGAGGTGGTCCTGGGCTAGATTCACTTGGGGTCTGACTAGGTTTTTAACATAAAAGAGCTAAACACCATTTATTGTCCTTCTAGAACCTGAGGCTCCACTGAAGCTGGAAAACATTGAAGAGTCGACCAATCGTGTCAGTCTGGCCTTGCAGCTGCCAGAGTCAGAGAACAAGAATAGAGAGAGTAAGTCTGGCAAGTGGTGGGGTAGGGAGGTTTGCATTCACATCAGGAGGCTCATTACAAAGAAAAGACTCCCCCACCCCTGGCTTAACAGAACTCCTTTTGGTGGGTACCTGGAGCTGCCACCTGCATATGCATCAACCCTTTACCAATGCTTCCCATGGCTACTAGTGTTCAGACCCAAAGTCTGACTCTAATGGTTCCAGCATCTTCTGGGTAAGGCCTCCACTGCTCAGGGGTCTGAAGAGAACACCTTTACACAGGTCTGGAACAGAAGATGGATGCTAAAGCAGGTGCCTTCAGCCAAGCTGGGGGAGAATTACCACCAAAAGAGTTGAGGGTAAAAATTTCTCCACTAGCCTAAGTTACTTGGGTTTAGCTTTCATCGCTCTGTGTCCTTTCTGGGATAGCATTTTGCTTCAGGCAAACGGGTAGTACTTGCTCTCCACCACCTAGCAATGAGGCTCCATTATGGCACCATATGTGGGTAGCTGTCCTGGGGTAGCTGCATCATCTCATTTCTGATTCTAGCATAATTGATGATGTTGTGCAGAAACCACATAAACCACACCAAGTAATCTGTCCATGTGCTTGCTCTGCTCCCTCCTGGCTGCCTGGGAATGCAGCCCTGCAGGGTGTTGTGCTGCCCTGTGCAGTGCCAGGGACCCTCCCAGACACCATAAACAGGCTTCATGTGTACACTCAGAGAAGTATCGGCCCCACTGGAGTCTCTTAAATCAGGGCTTGATGTAGAGATGCTGAGCACTCACAAGCCACTGCCTGCAGGGGACTGAGTGTCCAAACGCTTCTCTGGATCAGCCCCTTCCTGCAGTCCCAGGAATGGCTTCTTTAAAAGGTTGAACATTGCCTCTCTCTTTTTCTCCCCCACCAGCAACTCAAAGCAGTGTCTGGGTAGAAATATGGGGGGTAAGCAGTGGCTCTGCACCGTGGTCCCTTAATTCAACATGGCTTCTTGGTAGACAGCACAGCACTGTCCTTGCAGGCCACATCCTCCTCCTTGTAGGCAACTTGGCCTCACCAGCCCCTGGCCAGCAGTGTAATATTTGTATTTGTGTTTTCAGGTGCCAGCCAAAACTGCTCCATGAACCCCTGCAGGAATGGGGGCACCTGTGTGATGGATGCTGAGTCCTACCAGTGTGACTGCAGCCCTGGCTTCAAGGGCAGGCACTGCGAGCTGGGTGAGTTGCAAACAGTTTCCACCTGTTGTCATTGGGCTCAAACTACATGTCACAGGGGACCACTGCCCTGGGAACTGCCCCTCGCTGGTGGGGGAAAATCAGACATGCTCCTTCCACCCCCATCCCCTTGGGAACAGGGCACATTTGCTTTCTTGTCCACTGGCATTTGGGTCTTCTGGCCTAGCACAGCCTATGAGTGACTCTTTGCTGCAACCTGAACCCCAGTCACATGCCTGCTGCTGCCTGTAGCCCCAGCTGTACCGACAGCAGCAGAGAGAGCTGAGATGCAGTGTGACACCTGCTCTGGAGCTGGGTGACACCTGGGTGAATGCAGCAGCCTGGGACCATGTATTTTAGGGCCTAGCCAGTGCTGGGAGAGGAGAGAACAGCAGCTTTTGTGGAGGAGGGGGGAGCAGACAAGGAAGAATCTGAAAGGAATGAAAGCAGGGATAAGAGCACCCTTCTTTCTTCATAATGGAGCCATCAGGTCAGGGCTTTGGGGCTGGACCCATAAAGGGATTTCAGTGCATGAAGCTAATGTCTGTGGCCCATGGGAGTCCACCAGACACCCCCAGCCACCATCTCTCTGTGCAGGAAGAGGGGGCAAGGAGCTGCCGCCAGACGGTTTGTGCAGTTGCCAGGAAGAGGCGTCTACTTCCTGCTCCAGTGGGTGTCTGACACCAAGTGAATCACCTTCAGCAGGAGGAGCTGAGGGCACGCCCCATACACACACTCCCAGCACAGCTTATTCACCCAGTGGTTAGAAGTTGACTCACCCGCTAGAGTCCCCAGCAGAGGGAAGTGTGGCACTTGGGGGAGATGGAGTCAGGAGTCGTGGACTGTGCCTCCCTCTGCATTAGTGTGCACTGGTTGAAGAACAGGGATGGGGTGGCAGAAGTTATTCTGTGCCTCTTCCAAAGAGGGGAGTGTCCACATTGCCAACATGGCATTTAACAATAAACCTTCTACTCGTGTTCCTGCTCAGCTTGCAAGAAGGTCCCACAATCCTGCACGCGGCTGTACTCAGAAACCAAGTCATTCCCTGTCTGGGAGGGCAATGTCTGCCATTACCTGTGAGTACCTGTTTGTGTTCTGCCCTTCATCCCTCCCATTCCCCACAGCAGCCTGATGGTTGCCAGTACAATGGCTGGGTTGTGCTAAGTGCAGCTGACTGTGAACATGGGTAGTCGGCTTTAGGCTGTAACCTATCCTAGCACTTACAGCTGGGAGCTCTGATTCTGAGGCGCTTCAGTGTGTGGCTGCTGCTCCATGACCTACTTAGGGATGCCATCGGTGTTCTAAACAGGCAGTGGGGTACACTCAACATTTTCCACAGTGCACAGTAGCAGATTGGGGTGTTACCAAATGGCAGTGCAGCCAGCTGGTAGGCTGATGCACTATGTTCCCTGGATGAAATGGAACCCCTTGACGGTTTGACCACCCCCCTGGCTCTGCAACAGCCAGGTTCACTGAGAGAGTACACAGAGGCATGAGAGGGGAAGCTTGCATCTGCCTTTTATCTTGGACACTGGAAGGGGCAGTGAATTGTCTGGAGGGGCTAGGCCCAACTGGTATGGTGCCTGGGCCTGTGGAATACCAGCTCCCACTGCCAGCAGTGCCTTGCTTGTCTCTGCTCAACAGCAAGGGCTGCCAGCCCGGCCACTGCACTGCTAGTCACTGCTTATTTTTGGAACCTAGCAGGCTCCACCTTGCTGGTACTGCTACAATGATCCAGCTTGTATCACTGACTCAGCTGCTCCGGATTTCAGGCCAGTCTTACACTCTCAGCCTCATTCTTTCCATCTGTTCCCACAGTGTCAGGGCACAGTCTGGGTGCTAGGCCTCACCCAGCAGGGAGGGGCATTAAGTGACAGAAGGGAGCTGCAAGGGCAAATACTGTGACCTCTCCACTCTTTACTTGTTTAGAATTATAAGGTAGCTGTTGACTTTTAATTACCAGGCTCCAAACCAGGGGCCCCAAAGCTAGAGTTCAGGAAGTACTTGTTACCACTGGTTCCCATTCTGGCCAGCAGCCATCATCCTCCTACATCTGGGCAAAATTTTTGGAGGGTCCGATATTCTCACTCCCCAAGATACGCTGTTCTGGTTATCATTTCTTGGGGCCACTGGCTTTCACACCATCTCCCACATTCAAACAGCAGTTGAGATTCCCATAGGGTTTGGGAGGCTGCTACAACCATGGGCAATGTGCCTGAGCAGGCCAATACGACTGCACTAGATGAGCTCTTCAGAGCTGGAGTCAGAACAGCTGTCAAGATGGGCATGAGCAGAGGAAGGTGCTCCAGCATCAGACTCAAGCTCCCCATGTTTGGGCCCAAGCAGCTTTCTAGCCTGATGGTATGGCTTAGAGCCAAGTGTCCTGATGTGCCTTTCTTGTGCTAACAGGTACAAGAGGGTCTACAAAGTTCACCAAGATATCTGCTACAAGGAGAGTTGTGAAAGCACGGTTTCAAAGAAGACAGCCAGCAGGTACAGACAGGGGCAGGGCTCAGCTGTAATAGTGAATGCCTGGGAAGAAATCAGGGTTTTCCTTTACAAGTGATGATGAATAATCAAGGAAGGGAAGACAACCTGGGTCAAACTGTCAGGAAATGCTGAATTCTCACTTATCACAACAGTCCTTTCTAAAGATACCTCACACTGGGAAACCTTCAGACTGTAGTCACTGCTAAAACCTAGGCACAGATGCTTGAATTTACAGTCCATGATGTCCAGTGGACGAGTATTATATACAGAACTGGCAAGTGTGGCTGGTGCCAGAAAGAACAAAATAGCCCTAAACACAATGCTGTCCTAGCACTAGACCTGCACTGAACCATAGGCACATGCCCAGAGGCAGCTGCTGTCACCAGGCTCATTCAAGAAATGCACTGACTTTTGTGGGGCATTTCCTCTTTGCTGCTATGAATGGAGGAGGTTGCTTATTGAATTTGAGCTCTAGGAAAACTTGCCCCTCTGTGGAAAAGGAACATTTCCAGGTGGCTTTTGTCCTGAGCACTCTCTCTCTTTCTCCCTTCCCCCCAATTATTTCAGGAAACAGAGTAACAGTCATACACTGAAGAAGCCGTAGGTAAGTGCCTGCTCATTCTCTTGGGACATACTGGAGGTAGGTGCTAGGCTAAGAAGCCTGCAATACCGCTGCTTGAGAGGTGTCATTGTGCTAGCTCCTAGCTAGCAGCATGGTCCTGTGGCTTGTCCAGCTTTTAGCCCTAACAAGCCTGTCCAAAATAGGCCCTTGGGGACTGAACAGCTAGTGTCCTTGGCTCTCCAGGGCATGCAAGTTCCTTGGGCTGTGAAAAGCTGAGATTTGTTGTCAGGTCTAGCTTAACATGACTGTTGAATGTCAAGGAGAAACTCATGGCTATGTTCAAACAGAAGTTAGGCCTGGCTTCTGTAAACTGACCTAGTGCAAAAGCCACAAACTGGTGAGGTTAGGAGCTGGCTTGGTAATAAGGGCTGTGGTAGGCTATACTAGAGCAGACTGAACTGCCACATCCACTGAATGAGGAGCAGCCCATCCTCTCTTCTTGGCCTTCCCCTGCCCCTCCCATAATTACAGCATGTCGAAGCAGCCTTGCAGCACATCTACAGGCACCCACTGCTCCTAATTGACTGCAGTAAAGTCTAGGAGCCTGGGTGCTGCCAGTCATGAAATGGCAGCAGCACAGGCTACAGTGGCAGTAGCAGCTGATGTGATGTTAGCGTGAGTTTGGCCCTGCCCTACTACAGCCATATCCTCTCCAGGGACATGGCACCATACGACTACTAACCCATTGAGCTAGAGCTCTTGTGTCCTGGCTGAAACATCAGCCCCCTGAGCAGAAACTCCATGGCAAGGCAGTAGTACACTGTGATGTGGTTCCCATTACGCCTATATTAAGGTAACAGAGGCCACACAGAGTTCACAGCTTTCTGGTGCTCTGTGCTGTAGCTTCCCAGTGAGAATACAGACGGCTCTTCAGGGCAAGGATAAGCTAAAGACAAAACGATAAGAGGGAATGTGGCTGCCTTTAGCCTGTGCCAAAAGCTGGGACATAGAACCAGGACGGCCTCTCAGTCCACTGCACCTCCCCTCTAATGGATCTGCTATAGCTGTTTGCCATAAGAGGCTAATGCTTGCCAAAGAAAGGATACAGGGTCCCCTGGCCTCTGCTCGTACATGTCAATCTACAGGACCCAGCAGTCCCTCAGGCTGCACCCTGGGCAACCCACTCAGCTGTAGCTTGGTAAGAACCAGGGGACAAAGCATTCGCTGCCTTCAGCAGTGAAACTGGAGTAGCAAGAGGCCCCAAGGTGCTATGCTCAACCTAGCTAACAGAATTAAAGACAGGGCCCCCTGGCACATTCTCAGGCTGTCTGTCTCTGTCTGTCCTTCATAGGGTTCAAAGCAACAAGCATTTCATCTGACCAGGTCTTAAGGGCTTTTGAAACACCAGGAAGATTGGATCTGTAACTAGGTCAAAGACAGCAGGGGAGCCCTTCCTCCCTAGAATCAGACTCCCTTTTCCAGCCTGCTAGGACAGGCAGGCTGGCACAGCAAGCAGCCATTTCCCTTCCCTTTAGCAGAAGCAGCGGTACCTTCTCTCTGCCTTTCCTCACTGCAGATTGCCTCTTCCTTCCATTGCCAGTGTCCTTCATTGCTTCAGCATGGATGGTTGCCTGGCAATGGGGCCAGTCTGCTGCTGAAACTCAAGGCCTGTTCCCCATGAGTCAAGAGAACTTGCAGATCTGCACCCGCTCCTTCTGTATCCTGAGGCTATAAATTGCATTGCCCTAGTACAAAAAGCCATTTAGTGCAGAACTTAAAAGCCTTTGCTACGAGCTGAAACTCAGCTGACAACTCCCCAGCAAAGGGGCAGTGTTTCCCCCTGTACCAACAGGGTTAAAGTTTGTCAGAAAAATAATAATCATAAGCGGCAAACCTGCCTCCATTGCTCTACTTTATGGTTCCACGCACCTTGTACCTTTACTTCCTGCTAGCATTTGAACTGAGCAACCCACAGCCCCCTTTTTGTTTTGCAGTGGATCTGCACATTAGCTGAGTTTCAACATGTAGCACAGGAGTGGCTGAGTTACATTAGCTGAGTTTCGGCATGTAGTACAGGAGCAGCCTAGGAGTGGTAACTTCATTCCCCCCCCCCCCCCCCCC